CCGGTGCAGCCCCTCTCCCTGTGGCTCCACATTGCAGGGAGTAAGCACAGATAACCCCAGCCTGGGACAGCCTGGCCAGGCTCTGACCCCTGGCCAGAGGAGCTCGGGGCAGGGCAGGTGTGACCTCCCTTCAGCCTTTCTTTAGGGATTTATTCCAGGTGTTGGTCTGAGCTCCTGCTCCACATCCCCAGGCACCACGTAGGGAGCTGGTGACACTCACTGGCAAATCCAAAGGGGAGCCAGAAGCAGAGAAGGCATTTGATCCTCAGGCAGGGTCTAATGTTTGACCATGGCGAAAACCAAGGAGAAAAGGAGGAGGCTGATGCTCCAGAGCGCATCCCTGCCCTCCTGCCACACATCTCTGTTTGGAATGGAGAAGACTGATCAAGTCATCTGTGCAGGAATGTCCCACACAGCCTTGTCCTGGGACAGGGAAAGCAGGTGGTGCTTGGGCCACGCTCCGCTTCCAGGCTGCCAAAGCCAAGGAAGAATTGTCACTGCCAGGGGACATCTCCCTCACTTGTGTCTCCTGCAGGACGAAACAAGCTCCACGTGTGGGAACTGTCAGTGCTCTTCAGGTCAGGGCAACCAGGAAAGGCTGGAAGGACTCCGGGAGGTCCTGAGCCACAGGTCATGTTCAAAGCAGGGCTCAGTGCAAGGCCAGCTCAAGTGACTCCAGTCTTTGCCCCAGTGAGTTCTCAGAGAAGATCCCATCCCAAGGCTGCACAGTTCTCATGGGAAAAGCTTTTTCCTTATGGACAGTTTGAATTGTCCCTGTTGCAGCTGCTGCACAGTGTCACTTGTCCTTTTCTAGAGCACCCTGCAGGGCTCTGGGCCTTCCCCAGAGGGACAAGGAATCTTCTGGGGAATCTGAGGAACTTTTGGGGAGTCTCTGCTTCTCCAGGCTGGAGTCACCTTCTCAGTCAGCCCTGGGTTTGGTTTCCTCTGGCACCAAAGGTCTTCACTGAGAAGGGAAAAAATGGGGGTTTAAGCAAATTAACCAACACCATGGACTTTAGAGTTTCCATGGACTAACCAGGAGTGAACATTATGCAACCAAAAGCGGCCCAAACCCCCCTTTGGTGGGGGGGGGGGGGGGGTTATTGGGGGGTCTGACAGCAAAACAGCTGATTTGGGGGCTTATTGTGGGGTTTTTTGCCATTTCTACAAACTCAAGGCTCCTGCTGGGCAGTGGAAGCTGCCAAGGCTGCAGAGGAGGCTCACCTCTTCTATGGCACCAAGGAGCTTTACAGACACTGCAGCTGCTGATGTTGGAATACACAGGCAATTCCATTAAAATTACCTCATTAGAGACTCCTCTGCTGCCCCATCCCAGGCTAAGGCCAGGTTGGATAGGACCTGGAGCAATCTGGGATAGTGGAAGGTGTCCCTGCCTGTGGCAGGGGGTGGAATGCGATGAGATTTGAGGTCACTTCCAAGTCAATCAATCCATTCTGGGATTCTGTGAAGGTGGAGTCACACCTCCTGAGGTGCATAGGGAGAGGAGAGGCAACGGGAACAAGCTGGGACATGGGAAATTCCTTTTAGATACCTGAGAAACAATTCACCATGAGGATAGTCAAATACAGGGACAGAGGTCTGAGAGGCTGTGGAATCTCCTTCAAACCTTCACTGGACAACATCTGGAGCAACTGGGTCCTGACTTGGTTCAGCCCTGCTTTGGGCAGAGGGGCAGCCCCTTCCTAACTCAGGCATTCCACGTTCTGTCAGGGAACACCTCAGTGATGTTCCCGGCCCTTTTGTCTCCCTTATGCAGCCCAGGCTTTCAGCTGGCCGGATGCAGCTGCTCTGCCTGAGGCATCCTTTTGTTTTGGGCAGAAATCAGGGATTTCCTTTCTTTCCAAGCTCCCATGCACACTGGGAGATCTCTGGGGCTGGAGAAGTGTTCCTGCTTTGCCAAGGGCCAGCCCATGTCCTACCTGGCACTGTTGCCTTTTTGTCCTCCTACAGCACCACCCCAAAAACCTCTCAGTGCCACACATGTGCAAGGAGTGGAGGGGAGGTTTTGCTCAAGAACAGCCTTGCCACAAGTCTTAGCAGGCTTCTGCCTGGCTTTCCTCACCGTGGCAGCTCCATATTTCCTTCCAGCTGTATCCTGTTACTCTATTGGGTCTGAGCTCTCCATCTGCCCCCTTCCTACGGTGCTTTCTGGTCCCACAAAAGAGACACTTTCAAGGCAGGCAGAGTGAAAACAAGGTGTGCAAGTCTGAAGAGCAGGTTCCCTCCTGCAGAATCTTGCCAGGCTCTGGAAAGTCTCAGCTGTGCTGAGGTGAGGATGAGTCACTGCTCAGAAAACGGCATTATCCTGAGAAATACAAGAATTCCCAATATCTGCAGATGCCCCTCCTGGCGACCACCTGTCCGAAGGAAGGATCACCTCCCGGTGCTGAGGTAACCGCCAGCAGCTGGACTTTCTGACACCGGGGCTGGGGACAATTATTCCCCCCAGCAGAATTCGAGCGCGCCTCAGACACTTCCAGCTCAGGAGCGCCCGACAAGTTTGAACAGGCAACCTGCGCCTCTCTGGGAGCTGCACTGGGCCAGCGAGCGCTTTGATTGCGAGCAGGCAGCTGGCAGGAATCCCAGGAACTCTCACAAAAATGCTTTGAAGAGCCCAGATGCGCAGGGCGTGTCCCGGAGTGGGTGCGGAGCGTGAGTCACGGCCGCGCCGTGCGCTGCTCGCCGCGCTCGGCAGCGCCGGGACCCCCGAGCGCCCCGACCACCGCCCGCGTCCTCAATGACACCGATTTCATCAACCCTCCGACCCCTGTCCATCGCACCCCGAATTCGGCACGGGTTTACGCCCCTTTCAGCCCTGCCCGCTGTGCCCGTGAGCTCCAGACACAAAGGCAGACAGGGAATGTGCTCGGGGCGTTGCTGCTGCTGCTGCGCCGGGCTGCGCTGGACTGGCTGGGATGATGCTCCCCGTGCCCCGCTCAGGGATACCCCCAGCCCGATACTAGAATGCAGTTTGCATAGAACTGCAATAAAAACCTTCATTTAAGCACCTTTTGCTCTTCCAGATACGGGTTTGGAATCTGTTGCAGAATCCCGGGAGATATCCTCCCTTGGGCTAAACCGTGCGAACTCGCCCCAAGAAACCATTGTTTCCTGAAAGCCTCCCTAAGCTCCCTGTCCGCAGCTCCGCAGCCCAGCTCAGCAATTTGGGCGAGTTATGAAACCGGGAGATGCCAGAGCGCAGTGACGGGATGCGATAAACACGCGGCCCTCCCGCGGGACAGGGACAGGGCTGTTCCTCGCCCCGGGCCAAGTGACATTACAGGTTTGTGAGAGCTGGCACTTACTTGTGCAGGAGGCACCTGACGCTGACAGCCTGTCATTGATTTGCGAAAACACCGCTTGGCATCGATATCGAGCTTTCAGGAGAAACAAGTGGGGCAGGGGAAAACAACAGCTGGGCATTGCTGTGCTGCTCCTGCCTGCGCCAGCAGAGCACGGCCTGATCCCCACCTGGGAAATGCTCAGGAGCAGCAGGAAAGGAGGGGACACACTCACTCCATGCACTCCATCAACTCATCACGCTGGGCACCACCCACCCTGACCTGGGCAGCACCCACCCTCCTCCAGGCTGGCCTTGCCTGGGCATGGTCTCAAAGTCCTGGCTGGTTGGGTGATGGAGCAGAATAAAACCTCTGCATCCCTTGGTGAGGTATCAAGAAAGGTGGGGAGAGGGGACCAAAGGCAAATAAATACCCTCCAGTTGCTCTACTCCTGTGTCATATTGACAAAACCTGGCTTCTACTCCTAGGTTTCACAGGAGGAGCATCCTGGAGCATGGAAAACAACAGTGCACAAAGCTCTTTCCCAGGAGCCTGCTCTGTGCTTTCTGATGCTGCTCTTGTTCCTACAAAACGTGAAAGGTGGACACAAACCACCAGGGAAACACTAAACCTGATGGATGGGAGTGAAAGCACCAGGTCAGACCCTGGGCACTGCTGATTCTCACTGGAGAGAAACTCCACACATCCTTCCTCCCGCAGCAGATCCATCTGGCAGCACAAAGGGCTCTGCTCCTCTGAGTGTTGACAAAAGCACCCAGGTCCTGGTCCTGGAGCACCCAGGAAGACTCTACCCTGGGCATCCTCTCCTCAGCCTCCCTCCTGATGGGGACTGCTCCTCTTCTCCTGTATCAGCCTCCTGTGGCTTGGCAGGAGCTTTGTCAGCACTTGCTGTGACCTGAAACTGGTCACACCAGCAGCGAGGTGCTCGGTTCTCTGCAAACGAGTTGCTGCAGTGTGGCTTGGCAGAGGGAGAACTCTCTGCTCCCATTCATAGCCTGGCGTGTCATTTCTTGCACAGCCATTTTATCTCCTCTTCTTGCTAAATTTCCTCTTTTCCTCCCTGCTACCCCAAGTTGCGTGCAAAGATTGACCCAACAGTGCCGTGATTTCTCCATAGGCCTGTCCCTCAGACGAGTGGGATACCCTCTGGGGGGAGGTCTCCGACTCTCCAGGGGACTCGTCAGGACCCTCCCGACTCCGGTGTTCTGCAGGAATCCTGCATTCCTGGGCTCGGAGGGGTGGATTTGCAACCTGCGCTTGCAGAGTTGGATCTGGACAGGCGCTGTGGGCAGCGCTGCTCCTGCAGGCAGGGCCATCATCCCTTGGCACTGAGGCCTGGGGCTGATGCAGTTTGGACTGAGGGAAATACCGGAACTCCAGAGGAGCCGTGTGGGAGATGCTCCAGCCCCGGGGAGCACCGTTTCCCACCCAGATGCACAGAGCCTCGCCCCGAGCCCTGCAGTGACCGTGTCCGTGCCCAGCCTCGAGCCCCCTGCCGCCGGGCCGGGGCCGGGCCGGGGCTGGGCAGGCTCGGGCCGGGAGTGCCCCGCAGCGGCTCGGCTGCCTCGGCGGGAGGCGTGGGTGTGTGCGGGCAGGGCTGTATATCCAGTCTGGCAGAGGGTGTGACCGCTCACACGCCGCCGAGCCGAGCTGCGAGCAGCAGCGCTCAGACAGCGGGCCAGGGGCCGTATGGCAAGGAGGGCTTCGGGGGACTGAGCCCAGCGCACACGGTGTTCGGTGTCCCGTGCTGTCCGTGCGAGCCAAGCGCAGCCGTGCCCGCGGCCTCCAGCCATGCTGCACTCCCCGCTGAAAACCGCGCTGGCCTACGAGTGCTTCCAGGACCAGGCCAGCTCCACGCTGGCCCTGCCCTCGGACCACAAGCTGAAAACCAAGGGCACGGGCAAGCAGCGCGTCCAGGAGCAGGTGATGATGACTGTCAAGAGGCAGAAGCAAAAGTCGTCGGTGTCGTCAAGCGTGGGCCACTCAAACCGAGGTAAAGTCCCCCGGCGAGGGGCCGCGGGGGCAGGGCTGGTGCTCCGGGTGCTTCGGTGGGGTTTGTGCAGGGGGGACACGCTGCTTTGCTTCTCTCCTGGCACACCTGAGGCGGGTGCTGCCAAGAACTCCTGCACTGGATGGAAGGGTTTGGGACAAGACACAGAGCTGGAAGCATCAACTCCTTCCTGGCTGGAGCTGATCCCTGAGAGTGCTGCTCTGCTCCACATCCCTGAGGCGCTTGGACATTTCAGTGGGCGCTGTATCCAATTTTTCCCTGGCTCTAAACCTGGAGTAGCTGTCTGGTTTTGCAAATTCTTCCTCTGCAAGTGCTCCCATGGCTGGAATTCCCCGCCACCCCTCCTGTGGACGGGTAAAGCTGACAGTGCTCCTCCTCCACCCTGCCATGGGCTGGGGCTGGGGCTTCGCTGCCTCCTGAGCACTGTGCAGGTGCAGAGCAGGAGTCTGTGCCCACACACAGGACACAGACCTCAGCTTGGGATTCAGCTCTGGAGCTCCCAGTACATCTCCCAGTTGCAGACTGAGAAGTGTGGAGTCTCTGGGACCCCAAAGGGAGTGGTAGGAAGGAGATGAGTTGGGAGAAGTGTCTCTGGTGTTGGTTGGTGGGGGTGTTTCACAGCCTGCCCCACTTTGCCTGCGTTGGGGTCCAGGCGGCCGCTCCACCTCTGTGTACTGAGTGTGTGTCACAGAAACAATCAGTTGAGTCCTGCAGCCAGGTGTCCCACTGGAACCCCCTCCTCTTTGGATCAAAGCTTGGCAAATGGTTCTCGCTGCTGTCTTTGTGTCTGGAGAAAGCTGATCTGGAGGTAAAGCCCAGCCTTCCCCAGCTGGAAGCTGCAAACGCAGAAGGTTGTGACAACCACTGTGCTAAACCTCCTGGAGGTGCTTTTTCCAGCAGCCCCAGAGCTCTGGCCTGGCTGAGTCCATCAGGGAGAGGAAACCCTGAGGCTTTGGGGGCCATTGGGGTGCTGGAGCTGGGACTGAGCATTCAGCTGAGTCTGGAGTGAGCAGCACGGAGGGGGGTCCTGGGTGAGCTGGGCCAGGATCTGATACCTCCTTGGGGAGCTGTGTCTTGTCCAGCAGCTCTTCCAAGCTGCATTGTGAGGCTGAATCCCATGCTGGTGAGCTGCCATGGTCCAGAGATATGTTTGGGGCTGGATTAGCAAGAGAAGCTGGGTGGCTGTAGGCTGCTGGGGGAAGTGTGGAGGTGGTGCTTCCTTGGAAGCCATCCCTGCTCTGGGAATTGCAGTTGCTGGAACGGAGGGAATGGAGCATCTCCAGAGCGAGGGCAGGTGGGCTCTGCCAGGAACAAATCCCTGTTTCCTCTGCTTTTGTTGACACAGACTCCAACAAGTGAGAGAGGGCTGGGGTCAGGAGAGCTTTCCTCCACCACCAGAGTGGAAGATTGGGATCTCCTCCCACCTCTGGAGGGTTTGTTGCATAAGGTGTTACAGTGACAGACCTGATGAAATAAAATACGCAGCAAGATGAGCTGAGGGGCTCTGGATGGAGAGGGAAGCGGGCAGAGGGATCCATAGGCAGGAAGAGAGAGAGGCAGAGGGGGATTATCCAGCTTGGAAAGAAGCCCAGGTGAAACCTCTGGGAAAGGAAAAAAAAAAAAAAATAGCATATTCCCAAATTGCCAGTTTCTGCTCAACAAGCTAAACCCCTCCTCCAGACACTTTGGGGAATGTCTGGGAATGGGAATTGCGTGGAGATGTGCAGCTCTGGTTTCTGTGGCCCAGGGAAGCTGAGTCACATCCCACTCCCAGGAGTTGCTTCCAAGCACAGGGCCCAGGCCCCCCCTCCCCTAGTTCCCACCAGGGGTGGTTGGCCAGCAAAGGTCCTGGGGGCTGATTCATCCCAGTGCATTCCTGGATGGAATCCCAGAAGGGTGAGAAGTTGCTGTTTGTTCCCAGGGCTGTCTCCTGGTTGGTGTCCGAGTGGGTCAGGCTCAGCTTTCAGGTTGGGTTTTACTGCTCTTACCCAAAGATCAGGTGGGCAGCCCTGATGAGAAAAATTAGTTTTTCCTACAAAGGGGTTATGTGGGTCTGTTAAGTGTGGATTCTGCCCGTCCGAACCCTCATCCAGCTTCAGCTCCCTGCATCCCCTGGGATTTCTCAGAGATGCCCCTCAGAGGCAGCACAAGCTGGGGAATTCCCAAAGCCCCCTGACAAGTGCCTGAGTGCTTTGTTTCCTCTGCTCCCAGACTGTCCCAGAGTGGGGCTGGGCAGGTGTTGAGCCAGGTCCAGGTTCGTTGCTGTGTTTGGAGCTGTGGTTTGAGTTGGAGCTGAAGCAGGGCCCAGAGCTTCCTCCAGCTACAGGAACAGTGTCCTGGTGTGTGTAGGATGGGGAACATGCACAAGGAGCCCTCATGCACACAGCAGGGTGGGGGTGTTGTATCCCACCACTGGAGTTCCTTTAGGGGGAGCACACACTCCCTCACTATCCCAGTGACTGATGGAACTGTAAATGAGTTGGTGATTTGGAGTCCAGCAGGTCAAGGTATTGTGGCCACTTTGGAGATCTGGTGTCCCCCAGGGCAAGGTGGCAAATGTGGGCCTAAACTGATGTGCACTGGGGTGGGACAGTGAACAGAAAACTGCTGCCAGCAGAATACACCTGAACCCAGTGGGACCTTGGCTCAGCACAGCAGCTCCAGCAGCTCCAGCAGCAGCTCCCAAGGGTGGCTTTGGAGTCTGGGATATGTGGGGTCTGTGGGGTCTGTCCTCCTTGGGGGTTGGGTCTGTGAGTTCTGCTCTAGGGCTTATCTGTCCTTCTGTCCTGGCTTGTAAGATAAGCATGTATTTTATTTGCCATCTGTTGGAGGTTGGGCAGTTTTCTTATTCACCATTTAACTGGATTATTACCAACACCTTGACTCCTCAGGGTGTCAGGTTTTTGACTCTATCAATAGTTTTATTTATACTAATTACAAGTTTTTTTAATTTAGGGTTTGTTTTTTTTTCCCTAGTAAAGAACTGTTATTCCCATATCTTTGCCTGAAAGCCTTTTAATTTGGAAATTGTGGTAATTCAGATGGAGAGGGTTTACCTTTTCCATTTCACAGGAGGCTCTTGCCTTCCTTCACAGACTCCTGTCTTTTCAAACCAAGACACCTTCTCCCCATGGCAATACCAAACCAGATGGCTCCCCCTGAATTTGAGAATAATGCACATTTCCAGGGAAAATTCATTTCAGTAGCATGGCAGAGGAAAAGGCCAGGCCAAGTTGAACCAGCTCCTTGTAGCCATCAGCTCTGCTCTACAAAGTCCTCTGACTAAAGGAAAGTGCTGCCAGTGATTTGTCACTAAGGAGACACATCCAAGGAGTGTCAGATCCAGCTGTCCTATGGCTGAGCAGGGATTGAGAAATTTCTGTGCTGGCTGGGGCTAAGAGGAGAGTAGTTCCACCAAGGTCTGATGGGACATCATCTGGCTTTGGTGGGGATCAGGACTCTGATGTGAAGGGAAGATGAGATTTGGGGGATAAAAAGTCTTTTGAAGACTTCTATAACTTCCCTCAACATGGGATGATTCAGTGAAAGGTTCCACTCTTCCACAAATCTTAGATTATTGGGATACAAAAAAATCCCCATTAGCTCATAGGTCAGAAGGCAGAACTGGAGTTTTGTCATTCCTGCAGGAATCTCCATGTCTGGGATTTCACTGACACTTCTCTCCTAGAAGGCACCCAGGCTTTGCTTTGTGCCTCCCACAGGCCTCTGCTCTCCCTGTGTTTTTCCTATGTTTAATCATCCTTATTGTTTAAAGCCGTGCATAGTTTATGATTTAACTTGCCTAGCCTGCACTGCCAGTGACTGGTTCTTGTCTTGCCTTTCCCTGCCACAGATTAATATTTATTAACAGACATCCTTTTCCACAATCTCCACATTGGCTCTGTGTGTCCAGCTGACTTTGGGAAAATGGTACTTTGAACACAGGTCTCCTCCTGCCAGCAGTGCCAGCTGCAAGAGAGGAGAGTTGCCTTTGAGGATAGGAAATAACTCATCAAGAACAGCTACACTGGGTTTGATGGCAGCCTCAGTTTGCTCTGGAGTAATGGATAACAGGGATGGAGAAGGAGATGAGGGCAGTGGGAGCAGTGAAGGGGGGCTCACAGAGATGCACTGCAAGGTCTTGCACTTATTATCTGCTGTAATTGGATTTTACCCTCATGAATTGTCCCACTGAAGATAAAAGAGAGTTTAAAGTATCTAAGTTTTAAAGGAGATGTCATGGGGGAATGATAACATGGGGAGAGGGGAATCTCAGCAGCCTTCAGTGTTGTTTTCTGTCCACATGGTCACTGAGAGGCTGCACCTCATCTGTGTGGTTCTGCCACATATTTCCAGCTCTGTCCCAGCTGTTAAGGGTCCTCTGTCATGAGGAAGAGTTGAGAGAGCTGGGAAAGGGGCTCAATCTGGAGAAAAGGAGGCTCGGAGGGACCTTCTGGCTCTGCACAACTGCTTGACAGGAGGGGGAGCCAGGGGAGGTTGGGCTCTGCTCCCAGGGAGCAGGAATGGGAGGAGAGGGAATGGCTTCAGGTTGTGCCAGGGGAGGTTCAGGTTGTATATGGGGAAAATTTCTTCATGGAAAGGGTGGTCAGGCCCTGGCACAGCTGCCCAGGGCAGTGGTGGGCTCACCATCCCTGGAAATGTTCAAAAGACCTGTGGATGTGGCACTTTGGACATGGGTTAGTGGTGAACATGGCAGTTCTGGGGAAATGGTTGGATTCTTTGATCTTAGAGGATTTTTCTAACCTCAGTGATTCTGTGGCTCTGTGTTCCTGATTCTGTGTGTTTGCCAAGTGCACATGGGCCCTTCAGGGACCTAAACAGCTGCTTGGGTAACAGCAACTGGGACACAGACCTGTGGACATAACCAGAGGAAAGCACAAGGGGGGCATCTCCTGCTAAGAGCATTTCCACCCTGGCCCAAATGGTATTTTATGATTGCCTGGGTTTATCCCAAATTCCAAGGATCTGTGACCAGGTTGTGTGGTCTTTACTCCTGAGGTGTTTGAAAAGAGGGATCTCCTTCCTGTCTCTGAGGGCTGGGGATACTGGCTGTCAAGCTGGCTGTCAAGATGAAAAAAGCAAAGAAGTGTCCAAACCTGCACAAAGACCAAGTTTTCTTCAGCTACCTCCACCAGAAAATCCCCAGGTTCTTCCTGGCCTCAAGACTGAGCTCTCCAAGCAATAAATCCCAGTTGAGTGGTGGCAGGCGAAACATCTTCTCCAACCAGCAGGGTGACTTCAAAATGCCTTGAATGTTTGAGGTTCTGTGTAATTCTGTGTTTATAAGCTCTTATGTACAAGTTCTGGGAGGTGAAGGCAACCCTTCCCTACTGGAGAACGTGAACTTGAACCAACTGCCTGATCTCCTGAATTTGGCCGCATAGCGGAGAATTTATTGAAGAAAGTTACAGATGTGCCTAAAGTGGCTTACTTTGGGCATTTCCTTGCTCTAACCACAAAGTCTGAAGTGCATGGGAGGAACAGATCCTGAAAGGAAAAGTGTGGTCCCCAGGCAGGACTGGTCAGAGGGATTGTAAGTCAGGCACAGAACCTTTTTTTACAGCTGCTCACTCAGGAAAATGCTCCAGGTGCTCACACCTGCAGTTTCAGAATGTTTACAGAGAACAAGAGGCAGATTTGAAGAAGGAATTCCGAGGAAATTATAATGGAATGGCTTTACCTTCGTGCTCAGGATTAGGATTATCAGATAACTCTGTGTCCTGGGGAATCACCTGGCCCAAACTCACCACTTCCAGCACTGCCTTGCTGCTGCTGAGGCCCAGCACTGATGTCCTGATGTGGAGTTGAAAGGAAATCCCAAGGTGGAGAGGGAGCACAAGGTGGAGGACATGACTGAATCTCTCATTGCCTTCCCGTGGCCACTTCCTTACCTTATCAGCAAATGCTGTGCAGCTTTATGTGCATGAGGCATCGGGACTGGGGAAATCTGGGTGAAGAGCAGTCTCAGACTATGGAAAAGGAGCTTCTGTGTTTTCCTGCACAGGGGCAGGGCTGGGAGCTGACCTGGCTGTTGCCTGTTCTCCATCCAGGGATGTTCTCCAGGTGCAGTCTCGCTGACAATAGAAAGCAAATCTCATTATTTACACCACATCCACAGGAATCGTCTTCCTGAGAAAATGCAAGAATTTTTAGCCACAAACCAAATCACCATAACAGGTTCTGGGTGCCTCAGGCAGAGCAATAAGTAAGGTTTGTTCTAAGGATCAGTGGCTGGAGAAGACCTGAGTGGCTCCAGGGCCTTTGTGGTCGAGCTTATCCAGTTTATCTCAGAGATGAGTCTTATCAAACAATCACAGAGATTAGGATATTTCTGACATTACCCACCAGTTTAGGTGCATAAGTTAGGACAGGTAAGTCCTGATTTTGTACTCTGTTAGACATTCAGAGCTTCCCCTGGAAGTTAATTGGAGAGTAGGGTTTGCACTTCCTGATAACGGGACCTGGGATGCCACAATTATTGAACATTTTTGAAAATGAAACTGAAATCACTCTAAACACTTTTGGACCATCCAGAGGCAGTTAAGGGAATTCCATTGTGGAAAGAGAATGATTCACTTCATTTGTCTTGTAGTGATGAACGTGGCATTGAGTAAAATACTTTTAGGAGGGATCCAAAGGCTGTAGTGCTAGAGACTGCTGGGAGAGCTCTTGGAAGGGCTGGTGTAGGTAAATCCAAACTCTAGTTAAAGCACTGAGATACAGGAAAAAGGGCTGATGGGTTCCTCCCAATCCAGTATATTTGCATCTTTAAAAAACATATCTGAGATCCAGTCTCATTTATTCCTCTAGCATCCCAAAAATAATGACTGAGCTCTATACATTTTCAGGAAAAGAAAGTAGAGACATACTAAGTGATCTTTTAGAGCCAAGACTAGAATTCAAAGAGTGCAGTAAGGTTTTGTAGTGTTTGACTGTTTTAGATCCCCAGGTGTTAGACTGGATCATCCTTTATGTGTGGTGTTTGTTAGTGACCATTGATTGATTTTAGCAAGCCTTGCTCGGGCTGCTCATGCTGATAGGATTGGTAGGATCCAGACATGGAGTGAACTGGTGAAAGGGTCAGGGGTGGGTTTTGCCTTCAGAGAGGGAAATTGTATTTACTACAAGTCTTCTATGGCCAGACATTCCAGGACATGTAGCACAAAATATCACCAGGTTCCTCTCATACTACAGATAGGAGGCCACCAAGTTGATGAGAAGAAAGGAACTCCTCACCTGTGTGGAAAGGCTGAGAGAACTGGGATTGTTCAGCCCTAGAGAAGAGAAGCTTTGGGGGGACCTAATTGTGGCCTTCCAGTACCTGAAAGAACTGACAGAAGACATGGAGAAAAATTATTTACAAGGGCCTGAAAGGACAGGACAAGGGGGAATGGCTTCCCACTGTCAGAGAACAGAGTTAGTTGGGATATTGGAAAAGAATTCCTCCCTGTGAGGCTGGTGAGGTCCTGGCACAGGTTGTCCAGAGAAGCTGTGGCTGCCCTGTGCCTGAAAGTGTCCAAGGCCAGGTTGGACAGGGCTTGGAGCAACCTGGGATAGTGGAAGGTGTCCCTGACCATGGCAAAGTCAGAACTGGATGAGCTTTAAGCTCCAACCCAAACCATTCTGGGATTCTGTGATTCCATGATGTCAGACGCTGTCCCCATCTCTGACCCTTTCTGCTCCTCTGCTTTGGGTTTTATGGCACTTGGTCTTTTGTTCTGCAAAGCTTGGGGTGGTTTAGGGGGTCTGTGGTGTGAGGGCTGGAGTTCCCAGCAGTGACAAGGGCTCCCCTTGCTGCTTGTATTCCTTATGTTCCTGTTGAGATTTATAATTTTTTCATAACTAAATTTGCTGTTAAAAAATAGCTTTGTGCTCTGAAAAGGACCTGGTGGGAATCCTTTCTCCTGGGAATCCTTTCTCCTGGGAATGCTTTCTCATGCTGACTGTGCCTTTTCCATTTGCAGGTTCCATGTACGATGGTTTAGCTGATGGTTATGGCTATGGGACATCCCGGGGCAGCTACTACACCAAAACCCAGACAGGGAACAGCAACTGGGGATACCCGGTAAGACACTACTTGCTCTGGGATTGTGGCATGGTCTGAGCTCACCTGGATGGGAAGAACATCTCACAGTCATGTAGGGAGGTCACAGTGCTCCAGAAACTTGCCTGAGAAGGATCCTGGCTCTCTTAAAGGGATTCAGTGCAGTGGAGGAGGAGGATTGAGGGCCCCACAGCTGTTTTATCTGGGGATTTTAGAGTGGACAAGATTTAGTTTGCATCTGTGGGTTGATATCCAATGGCACAAGAGTTTGGAAGCTGTCTGAGGGATCAGGGTTGGATTCAGACTTTCACAGCTCAGTTCAAATTTGGAGCACATCCAGGAGTTCCCATCTTTGTTCCTGTGCACCAAAACATGGCTGTGAATTACATGAATGTGGCTGGGGAACGCAGACCACGGGATTTGCATGAGAACTGTGCTGCTTTTCCCAACCTCAGTGATACTGCAGACCCTTCCCAGATACTCTCTGTGCTTGCAAAAAAGTGGGTCCAGTTCTTCCAGAAAAAGCACAGTTGAGATGGTACCTGTCTTTGTGCAGTGTGAGGCTGAACATCCCACAGAGCTCCTGGTCCTTGGTGACAGACCCCTGGTACACAGGGAATCGCTCCAAACCACTCCACAGGCCACTGGGACAACATGCTGCCCCTCCATTTAAGGCTTGTGTTCTGCTGTTCCCTGCTTTTCATCAGCTCTAAAGTAAAAAGGAGCAATTCACAGATCTGGGATTTGAATATGAGAAAAGCAGAGGACTCCTTTCAACAACTCTGGGACTGTAAAGCAGCTCCATGTCAGCCATCAAAGGCTTGAACCAGGAAAGGTCTTGGTGGCTCCAAGCACACAAACAGGGCTGCAGCTTTTCCTGGTGGTTGCCAGATCCTCTGCTTGTTCAGAGCACCAGCATTCCTCAGCTTCAGAAGGATTTACCTGGGTCTTTCCTAATGGCCTTGTTGTAGCATGATGGCTTTGAGGCAGTGGTGTCACTTGCAGAGTTTGCATCACTGGGTGTTCAGTAGGAAAACTGAGAGTTCTGGAGTGTCTTTGAAATGTTTATTTCCAGTCTGTCTGTTGGGCCATTTCAGTGTCCTTTCCTGTGCTGGTTAAATTCTAGCCAGGGAGGCTCCTGTCCCCAGATGTGAAAAGTGTGTTCAGAGGAGCCACCGAGTTGATCGGGGGGATGGAGAATTCTGCTGTGAGGAAACACTGGGAGACTTGGGATTGTTCAGCTTGGAGAAGAGAAGCTTTGGGGCAACTGTACTATGGCCTTGAAGTACCTAAAGGAGCTACAGGAAAGATGAAGGGAGATTATTTCAAGGGATGGAAGGACAGAATAAGCGGGAATGTCAGAGGGCAGAGTTAGATGGGATTTTCTTCCCTGTGAGGGATGGAAGAAATTCTTCCTTCTGAGGTTGGGGCGGCCCTGGCACAGGGTGCCCAGAGAAGCTGCGGCTGCCCCTGGATCCCTGGAAGTGTCCCAGGTCAGGCTGGACAGGGCTTGGAGCATTTTGGGGTAGTGGAAGGTGTCCCTGCCTGTGGCAGGGTGGAATGGGCTTTGAGGACCCTTCCAACCCAAACCATTCTGGGATTCTGTAATTGGTCAAAGCACAGGTCCCTCCATCCAGGTGTCCTGTCTCTATCCCTAAGACAGTGGTGGAGCCCTGCAGAGGGTTCAGCCGTGGTAACCAGGCAGGGCTTTTGTGGCCACTAGAAAAGTTCATGAGACAGTTCCCAAGGGAGAGGTGGAACATCTGAGCATCACAGCTCAAACAGTGGGGATGTTTTGTTCTGCTGATATGTTGCTGTTTGCCTATTGTGATTCCTGAATGGAGTTTGTTTTGCTTTGTCCAAGCAAAATTGCTCTGTTTCAGCCATTCTAAGGGTTTGTAGATGGGGGGTTTTGTTAAAGAGGGAGGAAGCCAAGGCCTGGCTCTGCTCTTGCTGGTAAGGTGCTGCTGAAGCTCCTGCTGGTGGTGTGAGGGTTATTGTTTCCTGTTGTTAGTTCCTGATCTTGTTCCCAATCGTTATGGCAGCTGGGCAAATGCTGGGTAGGTGGGAATGCCACTGGCTGCTGGGGGTTTCAGTCAGCAGTGTTGGTGTTCTGGGGAACAGCTGGAAGGTGGTGATGAAGGTGATGAAGTTCAGGACCTCCATTAGACACCAGAGTCCTGTGGACACAACAGTTCAGTCCCTTTAGGCTCACTGGGGATTTAGGCAGCTCTGTGTGTTCTCTGAGACACTCCTCTGCACTTACTGAGGAAGGAAGGTCTTTTTCCAAATGTGTGTGTCATGCAAGTCTTTAATTCTGAATATTTTTGAGGTCTTCAGGATCTGGGTTACTTTAGCAAAAAGGACTGTGACCTGGGAAGGAGTCACAGTAAACTTTGTCTTACCTGAGTCTATCTGAGAATCAGCCATTCAGTCCTGACAAGTTGTCTGACTCCTCCCCGGCCAGCAAAGGCAGGGGTAGGGGCCGTGATTCATCTCCTCTGCCGGGGAGATCTGTCAGGTCAGGATGAATCAGCCCCCCTGGATCCCTATCTCCTGCCACTGGAGCTGGATGGAGCAGGGAGATGAGTGCACAGAGAGATGACTGCACTCAGAGGCAAGCAGTCCCAGGTGCCACTGGCACTCTGGAACACATAACCTCAAGCCTAAATGTGCTTAAGAAGCTCAACAGACACCAGACTTCCCAACCACACTGAGCAGCTTCCTCCATTCTGCTTTTTCCAGATAGCATTAAAGGTTCCACACATCTGCCACCAGCTTCTAGCTTGGGATAACTTCAGCCTTTGTCTACAGACCTGTTTGAAGTCTGTGCAGGTTCTGGGCTTCCTAAAAAATGTTTCCTGTTTGTAATTCCTGGCTTGTAAGACATGAAACCAAAGATAAAGCAAATCTATTTTCAAAGGCAAAATTGCTGGACTTATTTCCAGCTGGAGCTGGTGCTGCGAATGTGTCTGAAAAGTGACAAAGTCCTTTGAGGTGCACAGGCAAACTGAGATACTGCAGAGAAGTGACTCAGTGTAAGATTGAGGGGAATGACTGACTCCCAGTCCCCCTGGAGTTAAAAAGGTACAGTGGGAAATCCATGTCCAGGGTGTTGCTCCACAGCACCTGCTCCTGAGACACTGCTCTTGGGGTGCCCTGATCTAAGGCATTGCCTCAGATGGTGACACTAAAGGTGTCCTGTCCCATCTACAGCTCTTAAAAGCTGCTATCCCTGACTTCCTCCTTTTGTCTTGTTTTGTGTCTTCCTGGAAATGTCAAACTTTTCACTTCTGTGTTTTCTTTCCAATCTTGTGAAACTGATGTTCAAATATTAGAGTAAGAAAAATGATGGATCTGGAGGAAGAGCTCTTTCTGGATCAGTGAGTTTGGAATAGACTGCCCAGGGCCAGTGGTGGAATCCCCAGCCCTGGCAGTGTTCAAAAACTTGTGGATGTGGCTCTTGAGGACATGGTTTAGGGTGAATGTGGCAGTGTTGGATTAATGAAGGGACTCTTTGATCTTAGAGGACTTTTCTAATTTAATGACTTCATAATTCTTTGTTTCTAACACTTTGGATTAAAGCCTCCAATTCACCCATTATTACAGATTATTTTCTGTTAATTCCCCTTGTGAGAGGCGTAATTTGCAGCATCACTGTCCCCAGTCAGCACCTTCTCACTGCCAGTGCAAGGAACACTGAGCCAGTGGGAGGGCAGTGGGTTTGCTCTTGGCTGCAGCATTTCTTGGCTCATGTGTCAGGGGCTGGTGCAGCTCTCAAGGATGTTTGGAATTCCTTCGGGAATTCCTTTGCTCAGATACCACACTGGGATGCAGTAACAGGAGGATCCATGACTGTAGACCCCTCTGTGTCAGGGTGATACCCCAACCCAGGTGCTGGGAAGCCTTAGTGGTATTTGTAACCCTACTGCCACTGTGAGCTATGAGTGGCCAGCAGTTCCCAAAGCCCTCCAGCCTCAGGAATTGTGTCCTGGTGTGAGCAACACCTCAGGTCCCACAGGAGGGTCATTTGTGAACACAGTTTACACAGACAAACCTGGGGGAGGATTAAGGAAGCTGGACTGGGCACCTAGAGCAGTGCAGTCCCGGCAGAAGCCTCAGCATGAGCCACACGCTTGTCTCTGACAGCTCAGTTCACCCCAAAAATGGAGTCTCTCCAGCAGTGTTGCAAAGCTACAGCCACAGTCAGGTAGGTGGTCCATGGATTGCACGGACCTTGGTGCTCACCCCAAATGCAGGCGCAGCTTTGGAGAGGCACAACAAATCCCAAACACATGGAAGGCATCATGTAGTGTTCCACCAGCAAAGACTTCTGAGGCTCAGTTCCCTCCCAGCTCTTGCCTGGGTCTGCTGGGTTGGCAGGTCCATCGCTGGCAGGGAATTGGGGCATTCCTAGGTCCCACAGCATGACCAAGACAAGGTACAGGGCCCACCTGGCTCTCCATGCTGCTGCCTCCACAAGAAGGAGATCCCCGACATGATGTGGATGTGTCCAGTGTGTCCCCACAGCACTGCCCCCGATGAGGGGAAACAACCCTGGAGGTTCTGAGAAGGGAATCTCAGATGTGTCCTGTGTCCATCAGATCCTTATCCCCCAGAGCTGAGCTAGGGCTTTCACAGAATCACAGGATCACTGAGGCTGGACAAGACCTCTAAGATCATCAAGTCCAACCTTTGACCCATCACCACTGAGTGCAGGATCCAGTCATTTCTTGAACACCTTCAGGGACAGTGACAACACAGCTGCCCTGGGCTGACCATTCCTATGTTTAACAACCATTTCCATGAAGAAATTCCTCCTGATGTCCAACCTGAACCTCCCCTGGCCCAGTCTGAGGCCATTCCCTCTCCTCCTGTCCCTGTTCCCTGGGGGCAGAGCCCAACCCCCCCGGCTGTCAGGAGCTGTGCAGAGCCAGAAGGTCCCCCCAGAGCCCCCTTTTCTCCAGGCTGAGCCCTGTCCCAGCTCCCTCAGTTGCTCCTGGTGCTCCAGTCTCTTGTGC